GAGATTGGACGGGTATAAACTCACTCACCCCTCTGCCCCGAAAACAAACAGGACAGTTTCCAATCACGTTCTTGGCAAATAGGATGCTTCTTTGGCCTTCCCGCTTTCTTCTTTTGCAGCTGCTTCTAATTCTGGCACACATGTCTTGGATTATAGGAAAATAACAAAGGCCAGTGTGTTGTGTGTTTCTGTGTCTGTGTGAGAGGGAGGGGTTTCCTGGCGGCTTTCCTGAAATGTGGTTTGTGTGTGAGAGAGAGAGAGAAGGAGGAGGAGGAGAAGAAGAAGAAGAAGAAGAAGAAGAAGAAGAAGAAGAAGAAGAAGGGTGAACCCCAATCTCAAACCCTCTTAACACCCCATATTTTCGTCTGTCCCACTTCTGCAAACACTAAAGGCCTCTTCCGGGTGTGATTTAATGTTTCCAGCCTGTCATTCAAGGATTGCTACAGTCACAAAGCTTTTGCACATTAAAAAAAAACGAGAGTTTCGAAGGGTAGTTCTTTCTTACCTTTGGCAGAGTCCAGTGGAAAGGAGAAGCTTTCTACATGGGTGAGCCTGAGAGAACCGCTTTAAACTCTTGTCTATTTGAGGTTTAAAATTTAAGACAAAACAGGAACAATCATACCAAGATAGTGAGCGGCCACTACTGGGGAAAAGGGACTGTTTATTTTTGTGAGGGAAAACCTTATAAGGAAGCCAATTTTTTAAAAAAATAAAACAAAACCCAAAATGTCTGGAGGGGACCTCATAAAAAGAGATGCAGTGGTGCCAGGATGTGGAGAAACCATTTGGCTCCAAGGAGCCATATCTTTATTTATCCTTATCACGGCTAGCCTCATGGGCCAAATATGACAAGTAGGCAAGTCTGCCAGTCACCACAATGCTGTCAAATGATTGGGTGCCTTGAAGTCCCAAAGTCGGGACTTCAAAACACAATGCAGAGCTGCATCGCCAAAGCCTGCTTTCTGCTGACCTTCGCTCAACCACCCATCAATCCAGCAGCATGCATGATAAGAAGCCTAATGTAAGGTTCCTGATTATGCATTGGCAGCCACATCTCTGTCTGCCCCATACTGATATCACATATACAGTATATAGTGGGACAGGTGTGTATGGTTTTGGGGGAATGGCCCTGCAGGCCAAATTTGAACCCCTGGTAACTCACATTTGACCCACAAGTCAGAGGGATCCCACCTATTCTGCATGCAATGCAAACTAAAAAATATATAATTCCATGGTGAAGAGAGGGACTCAGGTTGGATGCTAAGCTTATCGTACCAGCTATCTTTGTACCAGACCTCCAGCTTGACCTCATTGTAGCCTGTCAGCATTAAAGTCCCAAATCCAGGGCTTCAGACTACCAAGGGTTGCCATTATCTTCAATGAGCCTGGCCCCCCCTTTCTTGACCTTGGAAGAAAATTTTGACGTAGCCATCGGTGCCACTGAAGATGTCACCCCAAAGTCGTACCCTCTGTGCACAATAGATTTGAGGTGTGCTTTGCCCTGCCCCCAGGCACAGTTCTGTTTGATTTGATCCAGTGGTAAAATGTGGGCTTCTCCAAGGAGGTTGTATCTACTCTCATGTGCAAGCCATAGCTAGGTTACACATAATATATGGACAGCTAACCTCTACTGAGTTGGGACGCAGGTGGCGCTGTGGGTTAAACCACAGAGCCTAGGGCTTGCTGATCAGAAGGTCGGCGGTTCGAATCCCCGTGAAGGAGTGGGCTCCCGTTGCTCGGTCCCTGCTCCTGCCAACCTAGCAGTTAGAAAGCACGTCAAAGTGCAAGTAGATAAATAGGTACGGCTCCAGCGGGAAGGTAAACGGCATTTCCGTGCGCTGCTCTGGTTTGCCAGAAGCGGCTTAGTCATGCTGGCCACATGACCCGGAAGCTGTACACCGGCTCCCTCAGCCAATAAAGCAAGATGAGCGCCGCAACCCCAGAGTCGGCTACGACTGGACCTAATGATCAGGGGTCCCTTTACCTTAACCTCTACTGAGCGTATTCCAGGAGTTTCCTTAGCCAATGAATTGAAATGTGGGAGAAACTAGAAAAAAATACTGTAGTTTCATCCTGCAGAGTAATTCAAATCCATCTTCAAACCCCTTATGGACTCACATAATTATTTATTTCAAATGGCAGCAATTCAGAAGTGCCAACTGCCCTTTTAAATGTTTCCACAAATAGGAGCCTCTATATCTTGCTCTGCTTTTCTTTGGACCATATCAGCAAGGCCGAGAGTGGAGCCCTGTCATCTGGGCATACACACTGCCCAGGGTTGCACACTATTGAATATCACTTCAGTGCTGCTAACACAGCAGTTTGACTTCACCCCCGGAAGCACACTCCATTGCCTCTTAAGACAGATGGATGCCGATAACAACAACCACCTGCCCCTAGGGTGAAAAACTTTTTGATCCTGAAATTCTAGCGCCTTCATAGTGGAGGGGGAAAGTGGGGAAACTTCTCAGCTAGGAGATTATTCCCATACCTCTACCCAGTTGTCTCTTTTGAGAACTGTCCAACCTCTCAACATAAACAATATCAGAACTTATTAGATTCCTCACCACACATCTCACCCCTTAAGTCTCTAGAGGGAGGACCTGGCAGAGATGACCTGAAGGTTTGAGGAAAGTGCTTTGTTTTTTGTAACCCCTCAAAATGGAGCAAAAAAACACTGGATGTTCTGATAAAGACATTCTCTCTGTGTGTGTGTCCCTCACTCTCTCACACACTGTAGCAATATTTCATTTTGGTGGTTTCAGCTAAGAAAACAGAGCAGTTGTGCAACAGCAGAGAACTGGAATGTTTTTCCTTGTCCTTTATTATTTAAGCCAGGAATTTTCGTTTCATATCCAGAGAAACACATGACAAACCTGCTGAAGCAGGCTGTGTTGTGAACAGAGCTGAAACAGAGCTGAATATGCTCAGCAATTATTTGTAAACAAACCTTTTGGCTAAAAAGCCCAGCTATGCAATGACTTTATTGTGGATTTTGATAAAAGCTTCTAAATCTAATCACATTAGAAGCTAAAGGGGGAAAGGAGCACTTGCATCAGAGAGAGTGCAGTCACAGGATTTGCCCTTTGCTACATCCCACCTCAGATGTTGGTGGGACACCCAAAACAGCTTCCATAGGAAATCACCATTCATGGACCATGTCTGTATGGATGAAGCTGCTTCTTTAGGTATCCTGGTCCAAAGCCATATATAGCCTTGGAAATCAGAACCAGCACTTCTGAGTTCCTCCCAGAAATTAAGGCATGTGTCACCGTGACCAGAACTATATTCTCAAGGAACAGATGTAACTCTTGAACCATCCTCATTTGGGTGAAGGGCTCTCCTGACCATGGCTGTCCCCTACATATTCAGGTTCAAAGCCAGATTCAGCAACATAACCCTGTCCACCTATCAAATTTGGCCTGTGAGGCTCAAACTGATAAACATCTGCAGAGCCAAAAGGCCCTTCACCCCTGGCATGGAGCATTCACATTGCAACTGTTTTTATGAGGCCGCCTCCAGATTTTAATTTTTTAACAATGACTTCTTTATAAGGAATTCCTCACATAAACAAACGATTCCTTTTCTTCCTTCTGGGGGCCTTTATCCCTGTATGATTGTTCCTGTTTTCCTGGTTTGACTGTAATTTTCAAACCCAAAAAGAAAAGGGTTGGAAGAGGTCCTCTCAGGCTTGCCAACTTGGCAAGTCTCTGTCCTTGCCACTGAGCTCTGCTACAGAGAACAAAGAACAAACTGCCCAAAATCCATTTTGGAAAAAATGCGGAAAGGAAGGCCTTCTTGACGCTATGATTTTAGCAGTCCTTGTTCCAAACTGGGGATGGCAGAATGGGTAAGTTGCACCCAGATGCCTTTAGTGTTTGCAAAGTAGAATGGGTAAGGAAAGGGGGCTGACAGGGCTCAACATTGGGGTTCACCACTCTTCGTCTTGTCTTACACACACACACACACACACACACACACACACATACAATGTTCACAGAGAAGCTCCCAAGGAAGCCCTTCCTCCCCTTACCACCACATTCAGCCTTTGTGACTCACTTATAATTCAAACCTTGTTTTCCAGAATTGGAAACCGCTGTAAAGGAGGCAAGTAATAAAGCAGAAGAATCTTAATCCTGCTTGATTTGGGGAACCATTGTCCCCGTTGTATCCCATGTAACTATCAGAATTTTAGCTTGGGGTTTGAAACTGGAGATCTGTGCTAGACGTGCCTAGAGCTCATGATATCCAGAAATCATGAGTTCAGCCCAGAAATGTTTTGCTCAAATCACACAGAGGTTAAGGGGTTCTGCCCTCCTTGCCATCTGTCCACCACTATTCATTCTTACATATTGCATGAGGTCCATAATTGCTTCTGTTCTTGAATCAGTTTTTCAAAAATCCTTAATACACTCTATCTTAAGCACTTTTGTAACCATGATAAATTAAAGGCGGTATTTACTGTTCCTTTCTGTTGGGGATAATTCAAACTGAAATTCCCAGGTGTCAAAAAAGGTTGTTTATGTATGCTACTACTGCGGCTTGTGTTTTGTTAGCCCCCAAATGGAAAACGAGCAAGGTTCCAATTAAAGAAGAATGGCAACTTAAGTTGACAGTTTATGCGCAGCTTGCAGACTTAACATATGGAATAAGAGAACAAGAAGTACATATGTTTATAGAAGATTGGAAAACGTTTATTGAATATATGGAAAATAATTGTGTACAGCTGAAAATGCTGGCAGCATTAAGATAAATTCAATAGTGAAAACAAGTTTTGATGGATGCAATAATGGAATACTGAATGGTATAGTTGTTGTAAAATATGCAGGGATTTATGATATGTACAGTGAACCATGGAAAGAGAAGAAGGGAAATCACTGATATCTTAAGAATGTAAAATGAGTATTTTAAATTGTAAAACAAAACAAAACAAAACTATACACATATTTACTGTTGTTCATCTTCACCACTGATTGCAGTAAGCAGCTATTAAATGCAGACATGGTAGCTGTTAAGTAACTCTGGCTGATTTTTTCAATGAACCTGCCTACTTCTTCAGCATAAGGTCCTGAAACACATGGAAAAGGATGGTTGGGGAGGGAACTAATTGAAATAAGAAGTGGGCAGCCGTAAGGGGACGTAATTATGACAGAAAGGGCCACTCAATGTGTGACCACAAACCAGCGTGTAATAATAATCAAAGTGCCCATGTGTTGCAGGACATTTGTGCCAGACAGTACCAGCTCCAGCCTGCAGGTTATGGCCACAGTGGCCTAAAATACGATCGCCCCACAGGTTTTTGTTCCAGAGCTGCACCTCAAAGACGTCGTGGCCTGACAGTGTGACAGCCCCAAAATCAATAGGTTCAGTCCACCAGGGGTTATTGTTATGTGGGATGACGATGGTCCTCCTTTCCTGACCGTGGAAGAAAATTTTGACATAACCATCAGTGATACCTAACCAGTTACCCCGAAGGTTGTATCCTCTGTGCACAATAAATTTGAGATGTGCTCTGCCCCGCTCCCAGGCACAGCACATATTGCTGTGGAAGCTGCCGTGATGACAGCGGCAGGTGCATTCCTCATCTGAGCTCTGAGAGCTCCAGCGTGGACACGGTTGTGAACAGTTCCTCTTCAGAGCTCTCTGGTTTATATAGTTCACAATGGATTGCTTCAGCAAATCCCTCCTTGGGTCTCTCTGGTTCAACAAGGTGTGCAAGGGTAGGAGAGAATAGGAAACCAGCCCAGGCTTTGTTTTTGCACTCTCCATCCATGCAGAGAAGTTCTGGGCTCCAGGTTTAGAGAAGAGAATCTCTGCTCGCTTCTCTCCTCCCACAATTTCAGTGCGTTGCTTGGCGTAAGCATCGTGGAAGATTCCACGAGTGTAAGTCCTCCGGAGGTCTTCACACTTAGAACTCAGGGAAGCGGACCCGAATAACCACTTGTGTCCCAGAGAAACCTCCCAGCCCAAACAGCTCTCAAAGCTGGAAGCGGTAATCCCCCACAGGGCCATCTTGCATGTCTGCACAGCCAGCAGGTGGCGCAATCGCCCGCCCACCTGCACATTGCTGATGTAGTGGGTGCCATAGATGTTGATAAAATGCTGGTATTCCTCAGAGTTATTCCTCCTTGGCAGACTGGCCAGAGCGTGGGAGAAATGGGAGGCTAGGTGTGAGCGTCTATGGCGGAGTCTCAGCCTGCTCAAGAAGAAAAAAGGAGGAGCAGAATAAGCAAAGATAAATACTGTTATCCACAACCGCATACTTCCATCTGTATGACAGAAGAGAAGCCTGAGGGGTCCATATTTTTTTTATTCTAGCTCCCATCAGCCCAAGCCAGCATGACCAATGGTCAGGGACACAGCCTAATAAATTGTTATTGGCAGTTATAGTTTGCAGGATAAAATGCACATCTTAGTTTATTTATATCTACTGATCAGACAGGCTTTATTCCTAGACGGAACATTGTTGACGTGATCCAAAGGGTAAAGATAAAGAATTTGGAAATTATTTATCTCTCTAGACACATTCACAGTTTGACAATGTGTAATGGGTGTTCCTGGAAATGTTGTTTTAATTATTATTTTTTATTTCAGGAAACAATTTTATACTTAATTGGCCAACAATACTTGGGGTTGTCATCAGAAACAGTCACAAATGGGTTCTCTACTTTAAGAGAAGTTAGGGCATCGTTTGTTCCCAGTGCTATTGGCATTTGTCATAGAAACTCTGGATAAAAGAATTAGATCCACTTCTAATATCAAGGGGGTATGCATTCTGGGAGTAGAACATTCCATAGGTTCATTTGCTAATGACATCATTGTAATGTTGTCCAATCCCAAGCGAGCAATCACTCCCCTTTGTGAAAATTTATATGGTTTTTATGCCATTGCTGGCCTTGAAATTAATTGCTCCATATCTATTAAGCATTTCAATTTCCCCATATTAGAACAAAACATATATTTGCCAATTCAGAGTTTCATCCTGAACAATCCTGGAATTTGTTATTTATGAAGGGTGCTGGGAATTGTAGCTTTGTGAGGGGGAAATTACAGTTCCCTGGCTACTTTGGGGGAAGTCAGGTCTTCTTCCTCCTCCCAAAGATACTTCTTCCCCTCATAAAGGGTTCCTTAAAATTCTTGCAACTCAGAAAACGAGAAGCACAAAAACACTGATTTTACCTAAAACACATGTATCAATTTTCTGCTGTCAAATGTTGGTAACTTTACAGCATATTGCGCTTCAACGAAACGGGCTGTCTCTATCAAGGACCCCTATAGAAGAGTTTGGATTTGGTATCCCGCTTTATCACTATCCTAAGGAGTCTCAAGGCAGCTAACAATCTCCTTTCCCTTCCTCCCCCACAACAAATACTCTGTGAGGTGACAGATAGGTAGCCGTGTTGGTCTGCCATAGTCAAAATAAAAAAATCCTTCCAGTAGCACCTTAAAGACCAACTTAGTTACCGTAGTTCTTGGTATGAGCTTTCGTGTGCATGCACACTTCTTCAGATACATCTGAAGAACACAGATACATCTGTGTATCTGAAGAAGTGTGCATGCACACGAAAGCTCATACCAAGAAGTAACTTAGTTGGTCTTTAAGGTGCTACTGGAAGGAATTTTTTTATTTTGTCTGTGAGGTGAGTGAGGCTGAGAGACTTCAGAGAAGTGTGACTAGCCCAAGGTGACCCAGCAGCTGCATGTGGAGGAGCGGAGACGTGAACCCGGTTCACCAGATTACGAGTCCACTGCTCTTAACCACTACACCACACTGGCTCTTATCTTATTACTTACTCTGACCAGCCAGCTATGGCTCTGTAAGGTACTGGTGCTCACCTGTAGTATGCACAGGAGACCTCTTGCCTCACAAAAATATGGCTGTCCTGGCGGGATTTCTCATGTGCATAAATAGCCATCCGGGAGTGAGATCCAGCAAGGGCCACCCGCATCTTAGGCAGCTCCAGCCCTGCTTTGCTTAACACTGTGCCTAACCCCAGCTCTGCTTTCCAGTCGTTCTTCACCTCCTTGGCCATTGAATTTGCGACATCCACATCCAAATTCTCAATGGAACTGCTGACATCCTGATGACACGTATGAAGTACTCGCCAGTCCATGCCAGCCAAGGGGAGTTTCTGCAGCTTCCCCTTCATCAAGGGATTCCGGCAGAGGATGCACGTCCCGTTGGGGCCCTGCCATTGGCTGGTGTCCACCACAAACGCTCCCTTTCTCTCCAGTGAGGTGATGTCCACGCCCTCGCCAATGAAGCTGTGGCCGGGCACAAAGCTGTCCTGCTTCATTCAGATGGATCTGTGGAATATTTGGCAGGGGCTGGGAGTTGTTGGTGGAAGTTGCAGGAGGAGGAGGAGGAAGGCTGCAAGGAAGAGGTGCTGTTTGGACATGACTGCTCCAATTGAAAAGCTTGTAAATTACCCTAGGGAATAAAACAGAGAGGTCTTGTTTGCACTGTGTGGGCATTTTTCATCTTTTTCGGTTCAGCTCATGAGGGACTTTCAGCCTGTGGGTCTCATCAGGGGTATTTGGTGAGGTATACATTCATTCATAAACAGCAGCAACAGCAACAGTAGTGGAATTAGTGGCAGCTGCAGCAGTAATACTAATACTAATACTAATACTAATACTAATACTAATACTAATACTAATACTAATAATAATAATAGTGGCAACCTTACCTGTTCCTTCTTTTCCAAATTGCTTCTCCCTCTCAGTGTATTACACCGCACTACAAGTGGCTTTTATCCCATGTTCTTACCCATATGTTGTTGTTGTTTTCAGTTCCCAGCCTCTCCCACCGACCTTTCATATTCTCTATGAACCAATACTGGATATGTGAACATTTGCTCACCCCTCCTCCTCTAAACAAACAGGACATTCTCAACAAATAAGATTCTTCTGCCTTGCTGCTTGTCTCCTTTCTAGCCGTTTCCAATTCTGGACAACAAGGAGTGAGAGAGTTAATGGCTGGATGTGGTGGTGAGAGGAAGGGTTTCCTTGGCGGCTTCTCTGAAAACGTGTGTGTGTGTGTGTGTGTGTGTGTAAGACATGACGAAGAATGGTGAACCCCAATGTTGAGCCCCCTCAGCACCCTGCCCTTATCCATTCTACTATTGCACAAAAGGCATCTGGGAGCAATTTAATGCTTCCAGTGTGCCATTCCTGGTTCAAAAGAAGGACTATGAGAATCATGGAGTCAAGAACGCCTTCCTTTGCACATTAAAAAAACAACAACAAAAGATTTTGTAAGGGTTATTCTTTGTTTGCCTTACCAGATTCCAGTGACTAGGAAAGGTTCCCTGGGCTAGCAAGTCTGAGAGGACCACTTCAAATTCTTCTCTTTTGGGGTTTAAAATTTAAGAAATCAAAAACAATCATACTGAAATAGAGAGAGGCCCCTGGTGTGAAAAAAAATCTTTTTGTGAGAAACTTCCTTATAAAGAAGCTATTGTTTTTGTTTGTTTTTAATAGAAGAGGCGCCATATGCCTCATAAAAAGAGTGGCACTGCCAATGCTCCATGCCAGGGCGTGGGGAACATTTTTGGTTCCACAGGCTAAATTCTTATCTGATCTAGCCTCATGGGGGAAATTTGACAGGGCAGGGCTGAAAGGAGCACTTCCTTTGAAAATGTTGTTTCACAGTCTAGGGATGCCGCTGATTCTGGCTTGGAACCCGACTACTCAGGTGAAAACCATGGTCAGGGGAACCCTTTACCCAAAGTTTCTGGGAGGAACTCAAAAGTTCAGGTTATGATTTCCAAGGCCATATATAGCTTTGGACCAGAACACCTTCCTCCATATTGACATGTCCATGGGTGATTTCCTATGGAGGCCATTTTGTGTGTCCCACCAACATCTGTAATGTGTTTGAGTCAAATATTGGTTGGGATGTTGTGCAGGACATTTCCTGTGACTGCAGTCTCACTGATGCAAGTTCTCCTTTTCCACCTCAGCTTCTAATGTGATTTGATTTAGAAGCCTATATCACAATCTAGAATGAAATCATTGCACAGCTGGACTTTTTAACCTGAAAGGTTTGTTTGCAAATAATTGTCAGATGTATTCCGCTCTGTTTCAGCCATGTTCATAAAACTGCATAAACAGCACACAGCCTGCCTCAGCCGTATGGTTTGTCATGTGTTTCTGTGGACAATATGAAAGAGAAATTCCTGGCTTAAAAAATAAAAGACAGGAAGGCACATTCCAGTTCCCTGCTGATGCACAGTTGCTCTGTTTCCTTAGCCAAAATCAGCAAAATTAAAACTGCTACACACCAACCCACTATTAGGATTGTGGTTATCTGAACATCCAGGGTGTTCTCTCTGTGTTGGGGGGGGGGGTTACAAAGAGATTCCTCTAAGCCTTCTGCCTGTCTATGTCTGTTCTCTCCTACCTCAGGGACTTAAAGGGTGAGATGTGAGGAATCTAACAAGTTCCAGTGTTGTCTATGTGGGGAGATTATGGTTGCCATTATTTCAAAAAGTGAAAACGGTTGTTGAGCTTTTTTTGGCCAGGTTGTTGAGCTTTTCCAGATGTATGGTAACCCTATTTCCTCAGAACAAACAGGGATGCGAGCAAACTGGGCAGAGACATTGGGATTGTCCTTTAGTTGAGGAGCCTTCCCACTTTCCTCCTCCACGATGAAGGTACAAAAATTTCTGGATCAAAATGTTTCTCTCAACAAGAGAGCTGCTTCTCTCCCCCCCCCCTCTCTCTTCCAAGACAACAGCCTCTAGAGGGCCACTGTCAAATAAAAGTAAAAACACTCATTTTTTTTCATGAGGCTTCAAAAGGTCTCCCCTCTCTTTTTTCACCCTAGGAGTATATCCTAGACCCCTATAGATGGAAACATTTCCAAGAGCAATTGGTCCTTCTAAGTAGCTGCAGTTTGAAATAAATAAATATGATTACCTCATGAGTCTGTAAGAAGTTTGAAGATGGATTGGACTGACCAACAACAAGATAGGGTTGTCATTTTTCTAGTTTTGTGAAGCTTCTCCTTTAGCTTTTGTAAAGGTACAGTTGCTCCTCTTTCCTCAGGGTTTTCAATTCATTGGCTTAAATTCCTGGAATATGCTTGCTAGAGGTTAGTTGTCTGTACAGTATGCTTAAATTGGCTATGGCTTACACATGGAAATGTTAGTGGGGTGTTGTTGTTTTTTGACAGTGCATTATTAAATTAAGTGTACTCTTTAAATGTAAAATAATGTGTCTTCTTTCCTTTCTTTAGCAGATAGTCCCCTTTGGAAATGTTTCTGATAGATTCAGGACAAGAAGATGGTTCTTTCTATATTGCCTGTTTCATAAGAACAGACGCCCCCAATCTTTATTAAAGGTAAAGGGACCCCTGACCATTAGGTCCAGTCATGACCGACTCTGGGTTGTGGTGCTCATCTCGCTTTACTGGCCGAGGGAGCTGGCGTACAGCTTCCGGGTCATGTGGCCAGCATGACAAAGCCACTTCTGGCGAACCAGAGCAGTGCACGGAAACGCCATTTACTTTCAGTCTATTAGGTCTATTAGGTCTCTTTAAATGGTAGTTTGGGAGTGACTGGCGGTGCCCTGGTTCTTATGGTATGGCAAGATCTTGCCAATGCACAGAGATCTGAGAAGCTTCATCTAGAGGGAGAAGGTTCTTCTATATAGTTCTGGCTGATGCTAAAATGCTCAGGAGTATGGGTAGCTTCATGTACCATTATGCATGTTCATTCTCCTGTGATGTCTCCTCAGGTGACAACATCTATAAGGCGATGTGGTATCAAGTGACAACCTGATCTGGTGGTTGCAGTTTTCACTCTCGGTCCCCTTCAGCAGCTCTGTTTGCATCCCAAATTCCCTTCCCAGGGAAGATGAGAATCCAGACCTGCAATGCAGTGAGCTGGAGCAGTGGTTCCTTCCTCAACACTTCTTTTGCCAAATGCAAGTGTTCTTTGAGGATTCAAGGGCAACAGCAACACAAGTGGAGGGAAGTTCAGTGCTTTTATTAAATAGGCAGCACAACCGAAACAGTCTTTAAGCAAGATAACACACAGCACGAACAAGATAGGATACTTCCCCATTCATTTATCAGGAGCTCTAGGGATCGATAACAGAGAGACTCCAGTGGCTGGAGTCTGGGCCTACATCAAAGCACAAGGATCGGAGCCCATTTGAGAAATTTATCTTTCCTCATCCTGCTGTAACTGATCCCTGGAGCCCAAGCAGTAAATCCAATCCAAAAACGCTTGCCAGTTCCCAGGGTGATAATAAGCAGGGAGGAAGATTAGTACAAACCAATACCTATCTCCTCAAGATACAAACGTCTTCCTCATAGATTTCCCTACAATGGTGGTGCGGTGGATGGAGAGACCTCATATTATTTATTTGTTTATGTAGTAAAGTTAATTTTTTCAAAAAATATAAATTTTATTTAGTTTTCAATATTACAATTTCCAAAACCACATTCACATGAAAATAAGCATTTCCCCCATTCATATCTTTCTTTTTTTTTTTTAAATAATTTTTATTGCATTTTTTCAGACATAGACAGAAGAAAAGGAAAAAAGAAAAGAAAAGACCAAAAAAAAGATAAAAAGAATCATAACCCTTCAACAGCTTATTTCAACTTTCTATCGAACTTCCCCGCATCTCCCGCACAATGCATTCTTAACAATAAATTTATCAGCAAATTATAACCTTGTTTCATGTGTTTCTTTTGTACTTTCAATTACAGTTTAAGTTTAAATCCCTTATTGTCCATTTACTCTGAGAACAAAGCATATTATCGTTTTTAACATTTAAACTTTGATTCTTTCAATAATGTTATCCAATTTCATGAATGTTACACTCTCATTGCTGGGGCTAGCATTTCAAATTATGCGTCATTTTATAGTTCATATAACTTATAAAATTTTTGCAGATAGTTCTTAAATTTTTCCCAGTCCTCCTCCATTGCTTCTTCTCCCAGGTCTCGGATTCTGGCAGTCATTTCGGCCAACTCCATGTAGTCAATCAGTTGCGTTTGCCACTCTTCCAGTGTGGGCAAATCTTGAGTCTTCCAATATTTGGCGATCAGAATTCTTGCTGCTGTGGTAGCATACATAAAAAACGTTCTATCCTTCTTTAACACCTTTTGGCCGACAATACCCAAGAGGAAGGCCTCCGGTTTTTTAGGGAAGGTGTACTTAAACACCTTTTTTAACTCGTTATAGATCATTTCCCAGAAGGCCTTCACTCTTGGGCAAGTCCACCAAAGGTGAAAAAATGTTCCTTCAGCCTCCTTGCACTTCCAACATTTGTTATCAGACA